TCTCTCCCCTTCCATTCATAACAAGATTCATTTTCAATTCTCTTTATATACAGAAGATCAGTTTAGCATATATTAGGTAAAGATTTCAACAGTTTGCACCCACATAGAAACACAAAGTGAAAAATACTGTTTGAGTACTCGTTATAGCATTAAATCTCAATGTACAGCACATTAAGGACAGAGATCCTACATGAGGAGTAAGTGCACAGTGACTCCTGTTGTTGACTTAAGAAATTGACACTCTTGTTTATGGCATCAGTAATCACCCTAGGCTCTTGTCATGAGTTGCCAAGGCTATGGAAGCCTTCAAAGGCTTTGAGCATAGACTTGAGAATGAGTGAAACTCGAGTTATTAAATTTGCAAATGGAAACAATTCAATACTAGATCCATACCAGTGCATACTCAATGCTATGGTACTTCAGTAGGTTGCTAAATGCCAATTGATCAGGAGAAACAATAAACCACATTTCTTGCTTAGGCAATGTGATACTGTTTGTGTAGGAATATAGCATTTTGTGTTACTTGAGCTCAGTAATCAACAGGAATGTCTAGACATGAAAGGAATGGGTAATTGATACATGGGATATTACTCAAAGCAGAGATACTCCTTGGCATTTGATAAGGTGATCCCCTAATAAACTCATTGTAAACAGGAAAATAGCATGAGTAGAAAATGCACTTAATACATCTATCCTCAACATCCTAGCTTTGTAACACAGTACAGTATTAAGTGTTGGTCATTTCCATTGTGTGTCTGGGAGCTGCAGTTCACTGCTGTTGCCCAGTACTCTGAGATGGTACAAAATGGCATATTGGTAGCTTAGGAAAAGATTTAAAGTGTGTGTCCTATGGAATGTGTATCACTTATGCGCCATCATAAAGATAAAAAGTCGTAAACTACCACAAGTGTGGGACTGATGTATGTATCCTTGAATTTAGTATTATAGGCATTATATAAAAATAAGGTGATTTATAAAATAGTAACAGAAATACTCTAACAGGTAGATGTGAAACACCTTGGAAACCAAGTTGACAAAACTCAGAAAAGAGAGTCTACCTCGGAGACTTCGCTGGCATGTATATCACATTGTTGTATTACGCTTTGGCATGAAATAAATGATTTGAAGAATAAATTAGGTGAAATGCAAAGACAAGTAAGTGTGATATTTAACATGTCAACAGGAAACATTTAGCTGGATGAATAATGTCTTAGGAAACACGCTTCAGTAATCACAGAATTCTTTATTATTGCCCTTGCAAGTTTAGTACAATCGTGTCATTATAGTGTACTTTAAACTCTTTCAATCTACCTATTTTCCTAATAATTACATTATTTTTAGAATATATGAAACCTGTATAACAAATAAATTTAAAAAAATAATATTTACCTTCTAGTAGGTTGAGAATTGTACATCACTTTTCATGGATGTTAGAGACCTTTTTCTGTTAGATAATACCTTTTTGTTGTATCGGTTGCTGTGGTCAAACAGGGTAGATAAAATCAGAAGTTAAAATTTAGTATAGTTTTCCAAACAATTCTCTTCTTATTTTCACTTATATGAAAGGATACAAAACTTATGTGTTTAATTTCATGTGTTTAAAAGTAAATTCCACAAAAATTTAGTTATACTTTTCTGAAAATGCAAGTGTTTGATTGGGTAATAATCTGAACAAATATGGATTTTCTCCTTATATAGCATATGTTTATGAACACACATACTTATACATGTAAATGTTCAGATCATGTGTAGGATATAATCTAAATAGATAATTAAATCAATTTGATAATTTCTCACTGTGTTTTTAAAATTGATTTATTGAGATGTTATGGGTCTTCATGAAGTTCTTTTTTTTCTTTTTTTTAAACTTTTATTTAGTAAATATAAATTTCCAAAGTACAGCTTATGAATTACAATGGCTTCCCCCCCATAACTTCCCTCCCACCCACACCCCTCCCATCTCCCGCTTCCTCTCCCATTCCGTTCACATCAAGATTCATTTTCAATTATCTCTATATACAGAAGATCAATTTAGTATATATTAAGTAAAGATTTCATCAGTTTGCACCCACACAGACCATAAAGTGTAAAATACTGTTTGAGTACTAGTTATGCCATTAATTCACATTGGACAACACATTAAGGACAGAGATCCTACATGAGGAGTAAGTACACAGTGACTTCTGTTGTTGACTTAACAATTTGACACTCGTGTTTATGGCGTCAGTAATCTCCCTAGGCTCTAGTCATGAGTTGCCAAGGCTATGGAAGCCTTTTGAGTTCACCGACTTTGATCTTACTTAGACAAGGTCATAGTCAAAGAGGAAGTTCTCTCCTCCCTTCAGAGAAAGGTACCTCCTTCTTTGATGGTCCATTCTTTCTACTGGGATTTCACTCGCAGAGATCTTTCATTTAGGTCTTTTTTTTTTTTTGCCAGAGTGTCTTGGCTTTCCATGCCTAAAATACTCTCATGTGCTCTTCAGCCAGATCTGAATGCCTTAAGGGCTGATTCTGAGGCCAGAGTGCTATTTAGGACATCTGCCATTCTATGAGTCTGCTGTGTATCCTGCTCCCCATTTTGGATCGTTCTCTCCCTTTTTAATTCTATCAGTTAGTATTAGCAGACACTAGTCTTGTTTATGTGATCCCTTTGACTCTTAGACCTATCAGTGTGATCAATTGTGAACTGAAATTGATCACTTTGACTAGTGAGATGGCATTGGTACATGCCACCTTGATGGGATTGTACTGGAATCCCCTGGCAAATTTGTAACTCCATGAAGTGCTTAAAAAATGTTCACAGTGAAAACATGCACATTTATTTTTTAAACTTTTGCACTCTAACTTACTTAATAAGTCCATTTTTGTGCAAAATTTTAAAAATATCTTCACTTGTTTCTTATAACAGAGTTCACCCACTGAAACTAATAAAATCTAGTGTCCTTCATTATATGCCTGAAGTTATGTAACCCCTACCACATCAATTTTAGAATACATTGATTAACTTGAAAAGAGAGCCTATATCACACATGCATCAATCACCCTTTTATTTGCTCTGTCTCCCCTAGACTTATGCAAGCACCATTCTGAGATTTGTCTCCAAAGATTTTCCTTTTCTTTCCAAATTTATATTATATATAAACAGAGCTCTCTAATGTGTAGCCATGTATGGCTGGATTCATTTATTTAGTACACAATTTTCAATACCCATCCATGCTTTAGTATATATTAATATTTTGTCAAGTAAATTTGTTCTGTAGTAGAAGACTATTATGTTTATGAACTGTCCATTCACCTATTCATGAATATTTAAGTTGTTTCAATTTCCATTTTTTAATTTTTAAAGATTTATTTATTTAAAAGAGTTAGAGAGAAGGAGAGACAGAAACAGTGAGTGAGGAGCTCCAACTGTTGATTCACTCCCCAGAGGGCTGTGATGGCTGGGAAGAGGGTAGGCAACTCCAGGAACCAGGAGCTTCATCTAGGTCTCCCACGTGGTTGATGGGGGCCTACATTTTGGCCATCTTCTGCAGTTTTTCCCAGGCCATGAGCAGGGAGCTGGCTTACAAGCGGAAAAACCAGGACACCTGCCAGCGCTCATTAGGGATGCCAGTGATGGCAGGCAGTGGCTTTACCTGCTACACCATGATTCTGATGCCCTCTTTGTACTTTTTTGAAACATTCTTTTTCGAGTTGTGTGGAAATACTTTTTCCTTCCTTACCACTGAATTTAATCTAATTCTGAGTTCATTGGGCCTATTTCCCAATCTTTCCAACTTTTTCTTGCTGCTCTTTCTGTTTACTTTCTGTTCATCTAACCTCTTTTTTCAGACAAAACACAAAGTTTCCCTTTTGTCAGTAGGCTTTTCCTCTTGTAACACTTGGATCTCAAGAGTCCTCACTCTTTTCTGTGCTTGTCACCTAGTTTGTGCCCTTAATACTACATTTGTTTATTTTCATGGCAGATAATCTCTGAATGTAATTTTTTCTTGGGGGACGTGATCTATTCTGCCTATCCTCTTTCCCTCACCTGTCCTAGTAAAATATTTTAGCTTCACAGTTGTTAGGATAAAATTAAACCCACTATACCATAACAAATATTTTTCTATAAGACATTAACATAAGCATTATGAATAAAGCTTCAGGATAACTCTAATACTCTAAATGACTTTTATGCAAATGAATACAAAATTAAAATATTGGATTCCAGTAGAGAATTTAGCTATCAAATATTCATATGTTATTCACTGAGGAGAAGAATCTAAATGTACATTCCTTTCATATATAGCCAAAAATGAGATTTAAAATCCCATAGGCCTTTATGCTCTGCCTATAGCAATTCTCATAGGGCAAACTGTAATAACCTTACTCTACCCTCAGATTGCTTGCTAAAGAAGCACAGGAATAATCTGATTTGAGAAACTTGATTTAACCATAGACTCCTGTATTTGTAGGTGTGGCTTTCACCTGTCTCTGGTGGTCACATAAGATGTTTGCAGCTCAATCTAGGAATCCTCTGTGTGTTGTATTTTAGCCTCATTGCCCATGATGTAGAACCAAGAGACAGTAATCTTTAACTTGTAAGTGGGTAAAATAATGCTGTCACTTACTGTAATTGATGAAAGTTTTATGCAGTACTGAGGATGTGCTTTGGTCATCATGTTCCCCATTGGATTCCATTTCTAATGGCGAAAGCAAAGATTTGGTGTGAAATGTGTTTGGGACCAATTTCATTGGCATGCCACCTCTCTATGAAATGTTACTGGAGCATGAAATCAATAGTAATAAATCTAGAGCAGATAGCAGTGTTTTGGATGTGAGGCACATAATCCCTGTTTCAAGAAGTCATCTCTATCATTACAATAGAAACATAGCAATGACCAATGTGCAAATGATGAGATGTTACTGTGATCTAATACAATTTCATTGTAAGACCAGATAATGAAATGATTTTTAAAAGGTATTAATAAAGTTTGTGTTTCTTTATTTCTTCATTTTAGTTCCAAGAAGCAGAAGCACAACACCAGGAAGTTGAAAACAGTGCTGAAAAGTCAAAAGAACATCTGACAATCTGCAATTCAAAGTACCATGCAAAATAATGAGTCTTTATAAACCATATAAGATGTAAACTATGATATATAGAGCAGTTTTGTTCCTAAATACATCTATGTGAAGTGAGGGAAATGTTAGCTTTAAGGTGTATTAAATGTATACTTTTATATACATATTTAAATATGGTACATCATCCAAAAAACACACCTAAAACTGATACACTGTCACCAATCATTTGCTTGTTAAATTTTTATGAACTTTGCTTGTAATATGTTGGTGATTATTCAGTTATGTGTCTCTTTAGGTTGATGTGAGAATAACAATTTTTAAATTACTTTTATATACATATTTAAATATGGTACATCATCCAAAAAACACACCTAAAACTGATACACTGTCACCAATCATTTGCTTGTTAAATTTTTATGAACTTTGCTTGTAATATGTTGGTGATTATTCAGTTATGTGTCTCTTTAGGTTGATTTGAGAATAACAATTTTTAAATTACATTTTAGGCTTGAATGTGAAAATTCCAAGTTAAAGGAAATAATCAAAAAACAAGAGGGTACAATTGAACATCTTCAGGAAAATCTCACAAGACTAATTTCAGTAAGTCCATCTCTTAATGTCTGCCTTAGCACATGGAGTCTTTAGTTTCTAATTGGAAATTGTGAGAAAATTTTTGATAATGTGAAAAGCTTCATCAATAAATAATTTAATGTATTCATATGCTCTTCAACATCCTTAGGGTGATGCTGCCCCACAGATTAGAAAACAACACTAGTTTCAAAGACACATCCATAAGAACCAACATAGCAAGTACAAAACAGACTGTCTCTAAAAGTAATCCTCATAAAGTGAGTGCTTATGAGTGTGTGGTTGAAGATACAGTCTATGAGAAGTAAATGGAAGTAAGAGATAAAGTAAAAATGACCTCAGTAAAGTGGACAAGGGTAAAATTATAGAATTGGTCTTTGGAGTTAGTTGATGACTTGAATAAAGGAACTCAAACAATTTTAAAAGGAATAGAAAGGCCGGCACCGTGGCTTACTAGGCTAATCCTCCGCCTTGCGGTGCTGGCACACCGGATTCTAGTCCCGGTCGGGGTGCAGGATTCTGTCCCGGTTGCCCCTCTTCCAGGCCAGCTCTCTGCTGTGGCTAGGGAAGTGCAGTGGAGGATGGCCCAAGTGCTTGGGCCCTGCACCCCATGGGAGACCAGGATAAGTACTTGGCTCTTGCCATCGGATCAGTGCGGTGTGCTGGCCACAGTGCGCTGGCCGCGGCGGCCATTGGAGGGTGAACCAACCAACGGCAAAGGAAGACCTTTCTCTCTGTCTCTCTCTCTCACTGTCCACTCTGCCTGTAAAAATAAATAAATAAATAAATAAAAGGAATAGAAAAGCATGGGGCTACAATTCAAAGCAGCTGCATTTTAAAATGGAGTGAATATGAAAATCACAAGGTACAGGGAATTATAAATACCAGGGACAATAAAGTAATTTTAAGCTCCCTGAAAGAAAATGCAGTTAGATTTTATTATGGCTACATATTGAATATAAACCATATAGCTCATAACTATATCTGCTAATCAGCTAAATAATACCATTATATTCAGGAATTAAAAAACCCGAGAGATATTTAAGGTAAAGACACTGTTCCATTTCTGAAATTTTGAGGTAAAAAAGTCATTGATACTGATACACACAGACTAACAGTAGTAATTAATTCCATACTTGGGAAATAATCACATTGCTATCTTCATCTTAACACAATTTATTTTTTTTTAAGATTTATTTATTTTACTTGAAGGTCACAGTTACACAAAGAGAGCAGGAGAGTCAGAGAGAGGGAGAACGAGAGGGGGAGAGGTGAAAAAGGGGAAAGGGGGAGAGAGAGAGGGGGGAGAGAGAGAAAGAGAGAGGTCTTCCATCTGATGGTTCACTCTCCAGATGGCCACAATGGCCGGAGCTGTGCTGATCTGAATCCAGGAGCCAGGAGCATCTTCCAGGTCTCCCATGTGGGTGCAGGGGCCCAAGGCCTTGGGCCATCCCCCACTGCTTTCCCAGGCCATAGCAGAGAGATGTATTGGAAGTGGAGCAGTCAGGTCTTGAACTGGCGACCACATGGGATGCTGGCTCTGCAGGTGGTGGCCTCCCCTGCTATGCCACACTGCTGGCCACATCTTAACACACTTTAAGACTGTGTTAGAGGCCGGCGCCGCGGCTCACTAGGCTAATCCTCCGCCTAGCGGCACCGGCACACCGGGTTCCACACCGGGTTCTAGTCCCGGTCGGGGCTCCGGATTCTGTCCCGGTTGCCCCTCTTCCAGGCCAGCTCTCTGCTGTGGCCTGGGAGTGCAGTGGAGGATGACCCAGGTGCTTGGGCCCTGCACCCCATGGGAGACCAGGATAAGTACCTGGCTCCTGCCATCGGATCAGCGCGGTGTTCCGGCTGCAGTGTGCCAGCCGCGGCGGCCATTGGAGGGTGAACCAATGGCAAAGGAAAACCTTTCTCTCTCTCTCTCTCACTGTCCACTCTGCCTGTCAAAAAAAAAAAAAAAAAAAAGACTGTGTTAGTCAATAGAAATGCTCAGTCCAGCAGGAAGTATCTTTGAAATTAACATTCAATTAAATCTGTCCTGTGGACAGTTCATCCCAGCTTTGATGCTATATCTCATAACTTTTCCTTTGTACCATGTTTATATATTTGTAGTTTATATAAATTGGTTTTTATTCATGCCAATTTGTTTTAAACCTAATGGATTCTCAGTCTCAGTTGATGTGTTTATGATCTCTCAGGAATCCTTTAATGGTTCCTATTATTAATAAATTGGATTTAATTTTCTCATTGATATTTGTTAAGTACATTATACATTTTTCCAATAAATTTATTAAATATTTTTATGTCAAGGCTCATTTTTCATCATTTATGCATAAAAAGACCAATACAAAGATAATTGCTGTTGTCTGTGGTTTGTTAATATGGCATCAGATCTCTGTTTTCAGAGTCATGAGAGCTCTCGTGTCATGAATCACAGTGATGTTTTGAGTAGAGGAGGGAGGTGTAGGAGCTGATGTCAAGAAATGAGTTGAAGACTGGAGTTGTCTTGTGCAGGGTTGAGGATTTTCCAGTTGCTTAATCATTTGCTCTGACTCTGTCAAGGCAACCAAACCTGGGTCTTGAAATTCAATACAAATATGCCAGGCTATTTTTTTCTAGTTTTATTTATTTATTGGAGAAGCAGAGTTAACAGAGAGAGGGAGTGACAGAGAGAGAGGTCTTCCATCTGCTGGTTCACTCTACAAATGACCACAATGGCACAGAGCTGGGCTGATCAGGAGCCAGTTGTTTCTTCTAGGTCTCCCACATAATTCCAGAAGCCAAGCACTTGGGGCATCTTCCACTGCTTTCCCATGCCATTAGCAGGGAGCTGGATCAGAAGTAGAGCAGCTGGAACAGGAACAGGTACTCATGGGATGCCAGTGCTGCAGGCAGAGGCTCAGCCTACTATGCCACAGCACTGACCCCACAGGCTAATTTTTAAGTTAATTTTGTGTGGCCAGTGAATGATTTTATAACTCTCCAAATAGCCATTGGTAGAAAATAAAAGTTCTCACTCCTGGTTGAGGACTGTAAAAGCCATTAAAATCTCTAGTTCTGAAACACTTTTTCTGAGCTATGTTCCTAAGAATGATAATGAAAGTATCTCTGTGGGCCGGTGCTGTGGTACAGCAGATTAAAGCCCAGGCCTGAAGTGCGGTATCCCGTATCAGTGCTGGTTTGAGTCCAGCTGCTCTACTTCCAATCCAGCTTTCTGCTATGGCCTGGGAAAGCAGTAGAAGGCCTAAGTCTTTGAGACCCTGGACCAATGTGGGAGACCTGGAAGAATCTACTGTTCTTGACTTTGGATCGTCTGAGCTCTGACCTTCGCAGCCATTTGGGGATTGAATGAGTAGATGGAAGACCTCTCTCTCTGTCTCTACCTCTCTCTGTAACTCTTTCAAATAAATAAAAATAAATATTTTAAAAAAGGTCATTATGTCATTGCTAAATTTAGAGGTGGAAATAATTCAACACTATAGCATTATACCAATCACTCACATAGTCATTGCTCTGATACTTCAGAAGTTTGCTTAAATGTTGCAGTTTTATCAGGGAAGAAATAGTGAACTGAGTTTTCTGGGTAAGTTTTGTAACACTAAGTAGGCAGGAAGATAACACCTTCTGTGTGTTACTTGTGTTCATTAATCAACAGGAATATCTAGACATGAAGAAAAGACGAGGAATTGATTTGTGTGGTGATATTATTCAAAGCACAGATGCCCCTTAAACTCAAGATTCTTAACTGGAAAATGTAAATGAAGAGCACATTTAAACACCTAACCTCAACATCCTCATTTTGCAATACAATATTCTGTGAAGTGTTGGTCACTTCCATTGTGATCTTGTGACTGCCTGGGAGCTGCAGTTCACTGCTGTTGTCCAGCTCTCTCAGAGGGTACAGCATGGCATATTGCTAGCTTAGAAAAAGATTCAACTTGTGTGTCCTATGGAATGTATCTCTTATGTGCCTTCATAAAGATGAAAAGTCGTATGTCACACTATCACAAGTATGGGACTATTTGCATAAGCCATTGAATTTAATATTGTAACAGTTATCTAACAGTAGCAAATATTTTATCAGGTAGATGTGAAACATCTTCAAGAACAAAGTGATAAAATTCAGAGAAGACAGTCTACATCAGAGACTTCACTGACATGTTGTTGCAATAAGGTTCTTCAGGAGACAAATGGTTTTAAGAATGAATTAGGTGAAATGAGAAGACAAGTACATATGATATTTAGTATGTCCACAGGAAAGTTGTAGGTGGTTGAATAATATAAGTGTCTCAGGGTAGGACCTTCCCTAACCACAGCTCTCTTCAATATTTTCATTACAATTGTAGACAAATTTTATGATAACAATGTACTTTTAAAATTTTTTCTTTATCTAAAGGGAATACATTTCATGTATTTAATGTAACAGTTTTAAAAACATAATGATACTTATCACCCTTAACCTTTTCATTTTTCCTTATTATTATATTATTTTAAAATGTTTACCTTTCTATAAGTTAAGTTATATATCTTACCTCATGGAAGTTCTTTTTTATTAGATAATACTTTTTGTGATATCAATTGCCATGGTTAAACAAGGAAGGTAAAATCAGAAGGTAATATTTATTACAAGTTTCTAAAAAATATTTCTTATTTTCACTTGTGATTGTTTACGAAACTTAAGTGGATACTTTCATGTATCTCGGAATAAATTCTTCAGAGCCAGCACAATGTTTCCTTTTTGTCAATAAACTTTCCCTTCTGTAACACTGTTGACTCTCACAGTCTTGACTCTTGCCATCCAGGTTGTGAAGCATAATAAAGACCTGTGCTACAATTATTTTATTTATATTCATGACAGATAATACAACCAGAATGTAAATTTTCCTTGGGAGAGAAGACCTTTTATGCATGTCAAATTTCTTTGTATAGATTGAAAATACTTTCACCTCACAGACATTTGGATAAAATTGAACACATACACCATACCAAATATTTCTTCTTTGAGGCATTAAGAACAAAGCTACAACATAACTCTAAATGCATTTTAAGCAAATAATTGCAACATTAAAGTATTCAATTCCAGTAGAGGAAAATTTATGAAATATTTGTATGTTATTCATCAAGCAAAAAATTAAATTTACATTGCTTTAAATAAAAAAACTGGGATTTACAGTTTTATAACCATCTATGGTCTGCCTACAGAGGTTCTGACAGCAACATTGAATAACCTTAGTCTACCCTAAGAGAGCTTGTGAAAGAAGCTCAGGATTGAACTGATTTGAAAAAGTTGATTTTTTGTGGCTTTTGCCTGTCTTTGGGGGTCATGCAAGATGTATACAAATCAATCTAGGAAGCCTCCATGGGTTGTACTTTAGGATCATTGTCCTCTACATAGTGTCATGACACAGTAATTTTTATCTAATGAGTTGGGAAAAATACAGTTATCTAGCCTAATTGGTGAAATTTTTATGAAGTATTGGGGATATATTTTGGTTTTCATGTTCTCTATTGGATGCCATTTTCAATGGTTGAACAATTATTCAGTGTGACTTGTGTAGGAGACCACTTTTGTTGGCATGCCATCTCTCTAAACTATCAAATATTACAGAAATATGAAATAAATAATAATAACTGTAGATCAGATAGCCATGTTTTAAATCGGGAGCCACATGATCCTTGTTTCAACAACACATCTCTACTCTTACCACACAAATGGCACAATGACCAATGTGCACATGATGAGATGTTGCTGTGTTCTAATACAATTTCATTGCAAAACCAGATAATGAGAAGATTTGTAAAGTTACCAGTAAAGTAAAGCTTCTTTTTAAAATTTCTTCATTTTAGTTGCAAGAAGCTTTAAACAGTTCTGAAAAGTCCAAAGAATACCTGGAAACCTACAATTCAAAGTACCATGCAAAATAATGAATCCTAATGAATCTTTATAATGCACACAAGCCATAAACTATGATATATAGTGTGGGGAGCAACTCGGACTAGACTAAGTTATGGAATTAAGACTTATTCTATGCATCTGCTCTCCCACAATATGGCGCTGGGAGAGGAGAAAACAGCTTCTACGCAGCTGCCTCTTGCCAACTTGAGTGATGACCTCCAGGAGCTGATCCTGCTCCTGATTGGAGGAGAGCAGCGTACTCGGCGTGTGGGCAGCCAAGTTGGGATTGGCGGAGGAGGACTATAAAGGAGGAGAGAGACGGCATGCACCAGGAACATCTAAGGGGAACATCTGAGGGAACATCTAAGGGGAACACCTGTGCAGCCCCCGAGAGAGCCGGCCGGCGGTGTGCCGCTCCCCCGCGGAAGTGGGGAATGTGGCAGGGGGAACTGCCCTTCCACGGAGGTGGAAGGGACGGTGGCCAACCCGGGAAGAACCAGCAGCAAACCCGGGAAGGGCCGAGCAGACGAAAGAACAGCGCAGGGTCCTGTGTCGTTCCTCCACGAAGAGGGGAGCGACATAATGGTGCCGTGACTCGGATATGAAGCCTAGGCAGGGCTTAGTGTCGTTCCTCCACGAAGAGGGGGAGCGACAATATAGAACAGTTAAGGTCATAAATACGTCTAGTGAAGTCAGGAAAAATGTTCAATTTCAGGTCATATCGAAATGTATACTTTTTATAAACTCCTTAGGCGATGCATATTATCCTCAAATAGAAACATAGAAATGATATAGGATTGGCAATCATTTCCTTGTTAAATTTTTATGAATTTCCCTAATGATGCTCCCTAAGATTATCCATTTATGTACCTTTTAGACTGATGTGAGAATAAAAAATTTTAAATGTATATTTTAGGCTTGAGTGTGAGGTTTCCAAGTTAAAAGAAACAATCAAAAATTAAGCAAGCACAATTGCACACCTTCAGGAAAATCTCACCAGACGAACTTCAGTAAGTCCAACTCTTAATTTCTGCCTTACTGAATGGATTTTTACTCTCTAATAGAAAATTGTATGAATGTTTTGATAATATGAAAAGCCTCATTGATAATTGTGTTTAGTGTATTCATACCATTTTTATTCGCTACTACCAGTTCAAGTCTATTAGTTTTACAAAAATCAATTTTTATTAAGTTAATGATATTGGTAATAAGGTTTCAATTAAAAAATGTGATGTCTATATTTTAGGGATTTGTTTGTTTATTTGAGAGAGTTATAATGAGAAGTGAAGAGACACGCAGAGAGAAAGAGCTCTTCCATCTGCTGATTCACCTAACATGGCTGCAATGCCCATGGCTGGGCCAGGCTAAAGCCAGGAACCAGGGACTTCCTCAAGATCTCTCACAGGGGTGCCAGGGGCCCACACACTGGGGCCTTCTGCTGCTGGCCATAGGCCATTAGCAGAGAACTGGATCAGAAGTGGTACAACTGGGACAGGAACAGGCGCTGGTGTCCCAGGGGGTGGCTTTACCCTCTATGCCATGAAGGCATCCCCTATTTCACTTTTGTGAAACATTCATTTCCTAGTTGCTGTGTGGAAATAATATTTTTCTCCCTTACCATTGGGTTTAATTGAACTCTGAGTTCACTGGGCCTGTTTCTCCATCTCCAAGATTCTTCACGTTGCTCTTTCTGTCTTCTCTGTTCTGTTCATCTAATGTCATTTCCCTGGACTCTGCAAAAAGTTTCCCCCTTTTCAGCAGACTTTTCTTCCTGGGAAACTTCCTCACTCTTTTCAGTGGTTGACTATCCAATTTGTGTAGCATAATCCAGATCTAAGCATTATATGTCTTGTATGGTTTTTTGTCAGATAATCTTTTTCTGAATGTAAATTTTCCTTGGGGAAGATCTATGATGGATGTCACCTTTCCTTGTATAGATTGAAATATTTTAGTTCACAGTTGTCTGGAAAAAATTAAACACACAGCCCCATACTAAATATCTCATCTTGGAGGCATAGACTTAAGCTGAATAAAACTTTAGGATAATTCTTATACTCTAAATGCATTTTAAGCAAACAATTACAAAATTAAAATACTCAATTCTCATATAGGAGAATTTGTCAAATATAAAAATGTTACTAACAAAAAAAAAATCCTGGATTGACATTCTTTTAGTACATAGCTAAAGGTGGGATTTATAGGTTTATACTCTTTATGCTCTGCATACAGCAGCTCAGGTAGCCAAATATAAGCTTACTCTACCTTCAGAGTGCTTGCAGAAGAAGCCAAGGAGAGAACTGATTTGGGAAACAAGGTTTAGCCACAGCCTCCCAAATTTACAAGTCTGTGGCTTTTACCTGTCTCTAATGGTCACAAAGATATGTGCAACTCAGTCTAGGAATCCTCTCTATACGTTGCATTTTAGGATCATTGCCCACTTCATATTACTAAGAGTCATCTATAACTTGTCGGTTGGGGAATGAAGACTGTTACCTAGCGCAATTCATGGAAGTTTTATGTAGTCTGGGGATATATTTGGGCCTTCATGTCCCCTTTGGATTCTGTTTTCAATGGTTGAACAATGATTCAGTGTGACTTGTGTAGGGGACCACATTTGTTGGCATGCTACCTCTCTAAACTATCAAATATTATAGAAATATGAAATCAATAATAATAACTGTAGACCCAGATAGCTGTGTTTTAGATTTGGAGCCACATGATCCTTGTTTCAACAACACATCTCTACTCTTACCACACAAATGGCACAGTGACCAATGTGCACATGATGAGATGTTGCTGTGTTCTAATACAATTTCATTGCAAAACCAGATAATGATTAGATTTGTAGTTACCAGTAAAGTAAAGCTATTTTTAAAATTTTTCATTTTAGTTGCAAGAAGCAAAGGCACGATACCAAGAAGCTGTAAAAAGTGCTGAAAAGTCAAAAGAACACCTGGAAACATATGATTTAAATGACCATGCAACATAATGGCCCCCTAAAATGCACGTAAGCCATAAGTTATGATATATAGAGGACTTATGGTCATAAATATGTCTGTGTAAAGTCAGGGAAAATGTTCAACTTCAACTTGTATTTAAGTGTATATTTTTTACATACTCCTTAAGAGTTGTGAATTATCTTCAAAAATATACATAGAAATGTTTTAGGGTTGCCAATCATTTACTTGTTAAATTTTCATGATTTTCCCTAGTAGCACTTCATAAGATTATCCACTTATGTGCTTTTTAGATTGATCTGAGAATAAATTTTTTAATTGTATATTTTAGGCATGAGTGTGAGATTTCTGAGTTAAAAGAAACAATCAGAAAACTAACAGGCACAATTGCACCCCTTTAGGAAAATCTCATGGGACTGACTTCAGTAAGTCCATTTCTTTATTTCTGCCATGGTAAAAGGAGTTTTTATTTCTCCATTAGGAAAATATAAGAATATTTTTGATAAGGTAAAAGGTGCCACTGACAGGTATATTTGTTATATTCAGATGGGTATTACCTGCTATTGCAGTACCAATCCAGTTAGCTTTATGGAAGAAATTGACTAATGTCATAAAATGCATGATACATGTAGTAAAGTTTCAATTCAAAACTATGATGTCTAAAATCAAATTTTATGAATACTACTTTCATCCATTTTTGATTTTGAGTTATTTCCACCTTTGGGATATTATTAATAATGTTGCTTTGGACACGGACGGAAGGCTATCACTTGGAGTCCCAAGTGATATAAGCAAATATATATGTATGAAACAAAGCAAATATAATTATTGGACCTAGAGTTGTGATTATCTTTTATAATCTGGTGTCTTCAAGGGAATTTTGAAATGTATTATTATTGCTTTTTAAATTTCTAAAATATATATTAAGTCCTTATGCAAGCTTCTCCCTCAAAGGAATACATTTTCCTCTGGATTTTTAGGAGTAAAGTGATGTCAGGGAAAATAGAGAACTGCTTCAGCAGAGTAATACACAGTATATAATATTCCTAGCACTGCAGGTTCAGAAGCAAAATTTTCCCATTAGTCTGTATTGTCAGCCTTTATATAGATGTGGTTCAATTTCAGAAAAGATTTGTGTTTGATCAAGGATCCAAGTTTATTGATATATAATAATACCATGCAACTATTTATCATAAAAACAGGATTCTCCTGTCATTCACATTTTCCTTAAAATCAGAAGTGAGACTCAGGATTGCATGTAATTTCCTGTATTGAAAATGAAGTTGTTGATGCTACTACTTAATTTCTCTATCAGTGGTTAGGGATTAGTTGCAGTACACAAATACTTTTGTCTAGGGATCTAGAACATTTGTGTTGACTAGTCATTTTCATGAATTGTGAAATAAGGAAAGGTTATTTTTCTCTAGACCTTTGATAAATTAGTGTCACATGTGTGAGTTGCGAGTATTTTGATAAAAGGTCTTCTGTGGATGAAAATACCAAGAGACATCCCTTTACAAAATTATCCTACTGAAATATGTTAGGCAAGTAAAGATTCAAAAGTTTGTTGTAGTACCTGATATTCATTGAGCAGGTTAAAATATATAGATGTTTTCCTGTAAATTCATATAGAAATGAGTTAGGAATATGGCATAGAGTTGTTAGACACTTAGAAGTCTAGCCTGTGACTCAAAAGTTCAATAAGAAATAGCTAACAACCAACTCAATAAGTAGCCCCTCACTTTTCCAGAAAGTTTTCATCCTATAAATCCCTCTGCCAGAACGTACTTGGGTTAAGATGTTTTGTAGATTCAGTTTTGAAGTGATGACTCTTCATTAGGAAGTAGACTGCCCTAGCTGACCTCATTTGATGTAGTGGAATGTGTATCCGAAAGGAATCTCAGAAGAATTACCTAGAGCCTATCACTGTTCAAGGAGGGAAATACTCAAAAACAGAGGTAAACTGTAATCTGGCCCTTGTGAAAGCTTTGCATTAGAAAAGGCAAACAAGACAAATTCTGTTGTTCAACATCCTTATAGTGATGCTGCCCTCACAATTACAAAGCAACACTAGATTCAAAGACATGCTGTTAAGAACCAACATAAAATGTACAAAATAGACTGTCGACAAAATGAATCCACAAAAATGAGTGTTTCTGAGAATGTGGTAGAAGATAGCATCCATGGGAAGTAAAATAGAAAAAGGAGATAAAGTAAATCAACCTCATTAATGGGGACAAAACTCAAATGATAGAGTAGGCGATTTGAGTTGAAGACTCGGATAAAAGCCACTCAGAAATTTCTAAGAGAAATAGAAAAGGATGGGACTACAATTAAAAGATCCTACATTTTTTTTTATTTTTTTTATTTTTTATTTTTTTGTTTTATTTTTTTTTTGACAGGCAGAGTGGACAGTGAGAGAGAGAGAGACAGAGAGAAAGGTCTTCCTTTGCCGTTGGTTCACCCTCCAATGGCCGCCGCGGTCGGCGCGCTGCGGCCGGCGCACCGCGCTGATCCGATGGCAGGAGCCAGGAGCCAGGTGCTTTTCCTGGTCTCCCATGGGGTGCAGGGCCCAAGCACCTGGGCCATCCTCCACTGCACTCCCTGGCCACAGCAGAGGGCTGGCCTGGAAGAGGGGCAACCGGGACAGAATCCGGCGCCCCGACCGGGACTAGAACCCGGTGTGCCGGCACCGCTAGGCGGAGGATTAGCCTAGTGAGCCGCGGCGCTGGCCAAAAGATCCTACATTTAAAATGGACGTGAAATAGGAAAGTTATAAATGAGAAAGTAAGTTACAAGTACCAGGGACAAGGATATCATTTTAAATTCCCTGAAAGAAAATTCAGCCATGTTTCCTTATGGCTACATATTAAGTCTCACTGAGTATCAAAATATACACATCATGAGAGTATTTTTTCATCAGCTCAAAATATATACCTTGTATTCAGGAAATAAAAGACCTGAGAGATGTTTAAGGTAAGGGGGGAGTTCCACTTGTGAAATTTTTAGATTAAGAAATCATTGATATACATATAGACTAATGTTGAAAATGATATCTTTACAAACGGGTCATCAAAGAAGGAGGTACCTTTCTCTGAAGGGAGGAGAGAACTTCCACTTTGACTATGGCCTTGTCTAAATATGATCAGAGTCGGTGAACTCAGGGGGCTTCCATAGCCTTGGCAGCTCATGACAAGAGCCTACGGTGATTACTGATGCCATAAACAAGAGTGTCAATTTCTTAAGTCAACAACAGGAGTCACTGTGTACTTACTCCTCATGTAGGATCTTTGTCCTTAGTGTGCTGTACATTGAGATTTAATGCTATACCTAGTACTCAAACAGTATTTTTCACTTTATGTTTCTGTGTGGGAGCAAAGTGTTGAAATCTTTACTTAATGTTTGCTAAACTGATCTTCTGTATATAAAGAGAATCGAAAATGAATCTTGATGTGGATGGAAGGGGAGAGGGAGTGGGAAAGGGGAGGGTTGCAGGTGGGAGGGATGTTATGGGGGGGGGAAGCCATTGTAATCCATAAGCTGTACTTTGGAAATTTATATTCATTAAATAAAAGTTAAAAAAAGAAAATTGTTATAATATAATATATATAATCATTATATCTTCCTGTTGAATTGATCCCTTAATCATTATATAGTGCCCCTCTTTGTCTCTCTTAACGGTGTTTGTGGTAAAGTTTATGTTGTCCGATATTAAGATGGCTAAGCCCACTCTTTTTTCATTTCTGTTGGCATGGTATATCTTTTTCCAGCCTTTCACTTTCAGTCTGTATGGATCTTTATTGGAAAGATGTGTTTCTTGTAAGCAGCAAATAGATGGGTTTTATTCCTTAAGCCAATCAGCCAATCGGTGTCTTTTAACTGGACAGTTCAGGCCATTACGTTCAATGTGACTATTGATAAGTAGTAGCTTTGCCCTGCCATTTGCCAAAGATATTTTCTGATATATGTTTTGAACTTCCTGTGATCTTTTGGTGTGAGATTTCCTTAATTTACCTTCTTTCATATTGATGACCGTGTTTCTGTTTCTGTGTGCAACACATCTTTAAGCATCTTTTGCATGGCTGGGCGAGTGGTGACATATTCTTTCAATTTCTGTTTGTTGTGAAAGGTCTTTATTTCACCTTCATTCACAAATGAGAGCTTAGCAGGATATAATATTCTGGGCTGGCAGTTGTTCTCTTTTAGTACCTGGGCTATGTCTCGCCATTCCCTCCTAGCTTGTAGGGTTTCTGCTGAGAAGTCAGCTGTGAGTCTGATTGGAGATCCTCTGAGAGTAATCTGACGTTTCTCTCTTGCACATTTTAGGATCTTTTCTTTATGTTTCACTGTGGAGAGTTTAATTACAACGTGTCGTGGTGAGGATCTCTTTTGGTCGTGTTTATTAGGGGTTCTATGAGCTTCCTGTACTAGGATGTCTCTGTCCTTCTCCAAACCCGGGAAATTTTCTGCTAATATCTCACTAAAAAGGCCTTCTAATCCTTTCTCCCTCTCCATGCCTTCAGGAACTCCTAGAACCCGAATGTTGGGTTTTTTAATAGTATCCTGAAGATTCCCGACAATATTTTTTAGATTTCTAATTTCCTCTTCTTTTCTTTGGTTTGATTGCATATTTTCCTGTGCTCTGTCTTCTAAGTCTGATATTCTCTCTTCTGTTTCACTGATTCTGTTTTTTAGACTTTCTAATGTGTTTGTCATTTGATCTATTGAATTCTTCATTTCATTATGATTTCTCGTCACTATCACAGTTTCATTTTCTACTAGTTGTTTCATTTCATTTTGATTCCTCCTTAATATTTCATTTTCAAGAGAGAGATTTTCTATCTTGTCCATAAGGATTTCTGTAGTTCGAGAATTTGTTTTTGAGAACTTCTTAATGTTGTTATCAATTTTTTGAGATCCACTTCTTGCATTTCTTCTATCTCATCATCTTCATAATCTTGAATTGGGGTGTCTATTTCATTTGGGGGCGTCATAGTGTCTTCCTTTTTTTTATTACCTCGGCTTTTGTGTTTGTCATATTGGAGATATT